TTTTTAAAAAAAAATTTTTTTTTTTATATATAAAAAATCATCACTTAATTAATCACTATCCAATCGTTCCGATACCTGTGATCACCCTTTGTATATAAGTTTGAGAGTTTTGTTTTGGATTTTTTTAAGAATATTTAGGTTATGTTAGTTTGGTTTGAAATTATTAAATAAATTTTTGAGTTGAAGTATACCTATTGTAAAATCTATTAAATGGATTGTAGAGTTAATTGTTGATTAGATTTGATTGGAATTAAAGTTTTTATTGCTTTTTAATTTTTTGTTAAGTTGAGTTTGAATATTAATTAAGACTTTTTTGGCTATAGATAGGGCTTGTTTATATAGCCAGAGATAATGAGTAGTTTCTGAAATAGTATTGCAGCATAGGCAGGTATTGTTAATATAATATGAAGATCTGATTTGGTTAAAAGAGTATTGAAAAGTCTTTTGAAATAAAAGTTATATATCTTGGATTGATATTGTATAGTTGAGATTGATATATTTTTGAGAAAAGTTAAAGTATTGGCAAATAATAAGAAGTCTGGTTTAAAAACTTGTTATACTTTTTGGAAGAATATTATTTTTGTAAAACAGATGGTTTTGTTGATTTGTTTTAGATATTGTTTTATTAGTAAGATAAAAATGTTATTTGTATTAAGAGACAATCAATTATGTTTATTTGTAGTAGTTTGATATTAAATAATTATATTTTTTGAAGAAATAGTATAAGTTTGTAAAGGTATAGAATATTTATAGAGTTTGAATTATGTTGTATATTGTTGGACCGGAAAACGGCGAGTCAGTCACTTCACCAGTCTAAAGTTCATGTTACTAAAGATAAGTTGAGGTGTAGATGATTGATTTAGCTGGGCAGTACTAATTAACTTCTCTTCTTTTCTTTCCCGGCACTCGTTTCCTTCCTGATACCCCGGGCTATATCCTTCTAGCAGCAGTTATCCTTCCTAAAACGGTGCATACTCAAAAAGGTAAGTTGTTAATTATTACTTTCTCTTTATGGAAACTCAGAGTAACTATCATTTCTCTTTTAATTTCTTTTTTTTATTAATTTACTTTGTGCATGTTTGTGTCTTTTTTTCCTTTCTTCTATACTGCTGCTATTTATTTATCCATCCACTTATTAATTATTAATCCCACAGCTATACTATTGATGCATAAATTGATGATGCTAAACTATCAGACTAAAATAAACTATGGATAAGTTACATAAGCCTCTATGACTACATTTTGCTATATTAATTACTAATGCTATCCTAAATTTTCAGGGTACGCGACGCGATAGTCATGGTACATGATTATACCATGTGATTTTTACCAGGCTAACAATATATTTGTTATTATATTAAAGTAAAGTATTTTATATTTTTTTCTTTGATTGGCTAGAGGATAAACAAAGATGTTTTTGTTTAGTTTTGAATGTTTAATAAAGAAATTACAGTCTTTGGAATTATTGAAGAAAAATATAATTATACAGAGAGTATTCAAAAGTCATTGAACAAACTTTAAAAATTTATATCCAGCTGTATATTGTCATATGTCAATCCAACCTCAAAGACCAGTATAGGACAGAAAACTGATAGCAGGGAGACACTTTGAATGGCAGAGGCCAATTTGATATGCTATAGTTTGTAGAGAAGATACTTGAGGTTTTAAAGATCATAAGGCAAGAGACGTAACAATTATAATTATATGAAGACAAATATAATTGTGATTATTTGTAAAGAATTATTTATTATCAAAATATTATTACACTTCTAATTCATTCAATTCCACCTTTAATTCTTCTACAAATCTCTCTCCATTTTCTTTACAACTTTCCTACAATTTCTCTATCATTTTCTCCCTTGTACACGAAATACATGATTATTCTATTTATATAAAAAGAAATAAAGAATATAATTGGTGTGCTAAATTATTGAGAGTAGTATATATAGCTAAATATAAATTTTTAAAGTTTGTCCAATGACTTTTGAGTACCCTCTGTAATTGTATATAGGGAAAGAAAATAGAATCGTAGTTAAATTTAATTTTGAATGATTTGTTATGTTAAATAAAATTCCAGATGACAGTTATTATGTTAGACTGGTATTTGTATATTAGAAGAACTTCAAGTAAGAGATTATTATATTTGAAAAAAAAGTTGATAGTTGGAATATTGTAACAAATCTATAGACATCTGGCAAAAATCCCGACTTTCTTCAAAAAGTCTGATAACAATTCTCACAAATAATCTGAAGAAACTATAGTTATTTTAATGAGAGAAACATTTTTTATTAATGATCAAAAAGATATTATCAACATCAATTTCTCAATAATTAAGGATTTAGACTTTTGGCTGAAGAATACTAATAATTAAACTAAAACACATATCAGAAGTTATATGACATCTGCTGATTCCGAAGCTCCAGAGTAATGCAAAACCCTAAACTTATAGTAATTATTAATCCAACATGATTTTACTAATTAACATGTGTTATTAATTAATGATTGATACCAAGAGATTATAAGATATTATTAATGTGCTTCATTAATATTATAATTCATTTATTATCTTGTTTTATTTTTTTTCTTTATTATTTCATATAATCTTCAAAAGAACCACTAATATTATATGTATAATATTATTTATATATTTTATTTTATTTATTTATATAGGGAAAACATGTATTTAAAGACTGTACTTTTCCTTTAATTATCTTGAGAATTGTCTGTTCCATTTTTCATTAATAAAGTTTTCATTAATAAAAATAAACTATAAATAATCAATATGTTTCTTTTTTTAAATAATTACAATTGTTGAGATATGTTTTTGTATTGGCAATTTGCAAAGATCTGAATAGACTAGTTTTTGAAAGTTAATAGAGGGTGGTTTGATAAGAAGTAAGTTAAGAAAATTATTTTTTGTTGTTTTTATTTTTAAAGTATTATTGGATTGAATTTTGATAAAGAACTTTAGTAAGTTTAGTAGTATTAAAAGTTGATATTTATAAGTGTTTGTATTTATATTAAAAAGTAAGGATGGATTCTTAAATTATTTAGCATATAAAATTTCACAGATCAATTATTTTCCTTTTGAAGGGATGTAATTATTTATTTACTACTTTAATAGAGACATAATTCAAAAAACACTTGGATTAAGTGTCCTAAATTATAAAAAACCTTTGTAGATAGTTTTTATTTGACCTTATATTTTTAAAAAAACTTTTTTAATAATGAGAGATATTTGAATTATGTTCTTACCTTTAATTTAGAAACTCATCTTTATTAAGAAGATATTCTTTATATTTATATAATATAATTGATCTGTTGAAGTTATAGTTAAATAAAATTAATAATTGACTAGCTTGATTCATGTTGCATATGTATCGTCATTGCAATACAGTATAAATTAGGTATTACAAATATCTGTTATATCATATGTTTTGATTATCATTATTAATAAGATCTACTATGAAATATATAAGTAATATTTATCTAATATATCTATTCAAATATCTCATGATAAACAATGTTTTTAGTAGTTGATTTGTTAGAAGGAAGTTTAACACGAATAGAAGTAAAGTTGCGAACACGAGAGAATGCCACATAAAGTTGGCCATAATTAAAAACCGACTCTTCAAGTAACAGCCCAACTTTTTGAAACATTTGACCTTGTGATTTGTTAATAGTTATTGCAAAGGCCATTCGAATAGGAAATTGTTGACGTGTAAAATTGAAAGGTAAGAATTCTTCTGTTGGTTGTAATTTGATATGAGGAATAAGTACTCTTTTTCCTTGAACTGCTCCCGTCATCAATTTACAATCAATAATATGATCATGCATACATTTAACTATAAGTCTTGTACCATTACATAGATCATTATTGACATCAAGATTTCTTAAAAGCATAACAACAGCACCAATTTTGAGTGTTAGCTTATGTGGAGATAATCCATTTGGAGTTAATGAATACAAATATTCTTCAGGATATGCACTTGGATCATCTTCATTTTCGCAAATAGCTGTATCAATACTAATATAAGTCTTTGGATAACCAGGAAGTCTGCAAATTACTTCTTCATTTAAGATAAGACAATCTTTGTTTATGGCGCAAAGAATAACTTTCTCATAAAGAATTTTAAAATCCTCTTCTTTAATTTGTTTACCAAATATATCAGTTATCAAATTTCCTGATATAATACATTATGGTGGTAGTTGTATTTCGCCATTAACTGTAGATAATGATTCATCACCTAACTGAAGAAGCCACTTTGAAAATTTCTTTTCATCTTCTTTAACACGCATATTTTGATTAAGTTGAAATTTTTGAAAAAGTGCCCATAGTGAGGATCGTTTTAGGCTTGCATTAACTTGAGCAATACATGATCCATGTCGTACAATTGGAAGGACTTGCCGGAAATCTCCACCAAGGATTATAATTTTTCCACCAAAAGGAACTGAATTTTGCATAAGATCACGTAATCCAGCTTCTATAACATTTAAAGATTGACATGAAGCCATAGGTGCTTCATCCCAAATAATAACTTTTG